TGTGTCTTATTCAGCCAAAACACATGTAAGCTACTAGTATCAATGAATGAACGACCTGTCTTTATCATCTATAATGTATCTTAGCATTGTACTTTAGTGGGTACATTATATGTGACCCCACGTGTCTAATGTTTTCTTTGAATTGCAGCTTCTGAACTTTTGTTGACTTGTGTGTGTTGCAAATGCCACAACTTTGTCTTTCATGATCTCCTGTTTTCTAGTTATGTTTCTTTGTGGTAAAATTTATTTTGTCTGATCTGTTGTTATTCTGACGTGGAACCTTTCTTGTGGAAGCATGCCTTACTTTTATCTACAGGTTTTCCTTGTTATGAGAGCCTTCTCTTGTTTGCTCTTATACAATTCAATTTTTAGCTGCTTGCATATGGAAATGATCCTTTAGTTCTATGTGTTTAATTTGCACTACCTTTTTATCCCTTTATGGTTGTCAAGGAAGATAAGAAGTTGGCAAAGATTCAGAATGTTTTCGGTGTCATAAGGGGAAGTGAGGAGCCAGATCGTTATGTTATCCTTGGCAACCACAGAGATGCATGGACATTTGGTGCTGTGGACCCCAATAGTGGAACAGCTGCACTTCTTGACGTTGCTCGCCGTTATGGGAGCTTGTTGCGCTCGGGCTGGAGACCTCGAAGGACAATAATCCTATGCAGTTGGGATGCAGAGGAGTTTGGAATGGTGAGTTACCTCATTCTTGCTACAGTTAGTATGACTATTGGACTGAGAATCTGTTAGTTTTTCTTACTATTTGCTACTAAAATTTTGGACCTAATTTTGGATAAAGAAGGATACGGTTTTATGCTTTGTAGATAATTGATGGGTATATTTAAATGTAACTATTTCAGTGGCAAGATCACGTAGCTACTATGTGTCACTCTCAATGAAGCTTGAATGCTTCGTTTGTTACAATTATGAGTAAGGTTTACCTTACTAGTCTATACCAGTGTATCGATCATCTATCAGTATGGTATGTATCGAGATGTATCGATGTATCATATGTCGATACATTGGGACATGCCAATGGCACAGTAGAATTATCGAAAATAGCTCCAAAATACTTGAAAAATAAAAAAAGGTTAGATTGTGATTTTTAAATTAGAAATAAATATAAATTTAGTATAATTTCAAAAAAAAAATTAAATTAGGAAAAAAATAGTGATATTTTTTTGAGTTTTGAGGAGTAGTTTTGTGGTATATTCTAGATCGTTCTTACGTTAATATTGAATTATCTACAGAGAAATGATTTGAATTGTTAGATTATTTTTTAAACAATTTAAACTTCAAGATTTAAATGAATTTAGTAATCAATCGATGGATATATCTAATTCTACCACAAAAAAGAATGATGAGATTCCACGGGCGATGGATCGGAGTCCTCGATCTTATGTATCTATATATCAATTTGATATGTTTGTCAAACTTAATCTTGAAATTGACCCCATGACATAGTATACTGATATATCGTATGCCATTATTGCATCAATGTGGTGATGGTCGTAGTTTGATCAGCGGGAACCACATGTGTTCGAGGTATCTCTTGAGGCAAGGACGATTGTGGCATGTTTTGGTGCGGAGCATGGAGAATGTCAGAACTTCTACTTTTGCCATTGATCTACTGCTCTATGTCATAAGATTGATCACTGTATTATTGCTCGAAGAAGTATGACCAACTATCGTTGTACTGTTGTTGGTCGTAAGATTCTCCATAATACGACAACTGTGAATGTGATGAGCTTTGCTCTGACTACGTTGTGTAGGCTCTATTGCATATGTTCAAAATCTACTATTTTCCCCTTTCATGTATAAACTTGACAAGTACCTCGTTGAGCTCCATGATCTGAATCTTGGGTGGCATGTGTAAAATACTACTCATCGGGCCATGCACCATCCTCAAATTGTGTAGACGAGACCATCAACTCTCTGATGTTGCCGCCATCATTGATTGAGGCACTGTTGTCTATATCGTTGTCATGTCTCTAGACCAAGCGGGTGGTTGAATGTGATTGGTGAGGTGTCTCATCGCCCGACTCAATTTTTTTCAACTGTGCGATCGATGCTACTACCTTCCCCTTTGCCTTTACCTATTCACGCTGGGCGGATGACTGTGATAGTTGGGTGTCTCTAGTTCCTTGAGTACTCTGACTCAATGTTGTTCGGCTCCTTTCGTTACATTCTGATCGAGGGAGATCTTCCTCCTACTAGGGATGTGCTTCCTCTTCTTCTATTGCTTTGATGATATAACGCAAAGGACGTAGAGGATCTCCTTCCTCATCAAATAGAGGATCCTCTTGGTTTTCCGCTGCTTCGACCCACTCCAACATTGGCTCCAAATCTTCGTTATAGAATTGGAGGTTGATGGGATCAATCTCTGTTTCCTCTGACTCCTTGTCCGGCTTAGCACACCGCAGCCTTAGCCACATGTTATAGTGGACATATACCAATTTCTCCAACTGTTTATACGAAAGTCTGTTGCGGACCTTCGTGTGAATCAATGTAAACGTTGACCAATTATGTTTGCAATCATTAGATGTTGTCGTCTACAAAAGTACATGGACGACAACCTTCCTTAAATTTAGTGCGTCCTCTCCAAATTGTAGCCACCACTCGACTGCAAAAAGATATAAATAAGACTTTAATAGCATAGTAAATAATTAATATCAAATATAGTTTATAATCAACATGTGTGTATTTTTTTCTCACGAAGAGTTATATTGTAACGACATAATACACCTACAACGTTGGAGAATGAACGAATTATTTTTCGGAATAATTGACCCTCTATCAACTACATCGGTAGTGTTCGACAAGAGTCGATATATAACATTTTTTAGTGTCAACAATAAATCTGATCGCGTTTTAAGACTATACTGAAATTGAGTGCTTGGATTTAGATAATATGCTATAAGACAAATAATTTTGTTAGTAAGAATGTTTTAAATATTAAAAAAATTATGAATTAAATTGCACTGAACATGAATTTATCTATATTATGGATATCTTGGTCCATATGAACTTTAATCTTGCGATCTATGTTTTGTAAGTATTGCTCGATCTCAAAATCATCTTTAAATGCTTTCTTGACCTCCTCTTTGCTATAATCAACATATGTTTAAGATAAGACATTTGGAGGCGCTTGTCCATATCGACTTTACGGAGGATAACGTAAGATGATTTCACTCCTATTATGATTTCATTTATCGTATCATAAAATCTAGAAGAAAAAAGTCTTTTTTATCTTTTTTCCATCGCTCGATTTTGAATACCCGGAATTGGACCATTCCTGTGAAGTGATCATTGCCTTGAGGCCCTGCCTCTTGTACTGTATTGACTTTAAGGCAATAAAATTTATAGCAAACCGAATGACTCTAGGATATGAGTATCTCACCATTTAGATACTTTTGCATCAAAGAGTGGATCTAATGATGATTATATATAAACTTTATAATCAACTGTGCTTGAGTTACACACTTGCTAATTGATGGTAGCTCACCAATATCCTTCAGCATTAGATCCATATAATGAGTTGCACATGGAGTCCAAAACAATGTTTTTTTTTCGATTATAAATCGACTTTCTTGAAATTTGCTCTATCATTGGTGACTATTTGGATAATGTATTGTGGTTCGATTTCTTCTATTACGATATTTATTAGGTTTTCAATATAGTTTGTATCTTGAATTTTGTTAGAAGCATTAATTGACTTATAAAAAACCACTCATTTATTGAAATATACAAGAAAATTGATGATACTCATTCTTGTTGTTCTTGTCCAATTGTCACACATTGATGTCACCCCATATTTGTCCTACTTGCGTTTGAAGGATGTGATCCAATTCTTTAGTTTTGTCATCTCCTCATCTAAATACACGTCGTGGATCTTTTTCGGTGTTGGAGGTTGGATCCTCGTGCTAAACTTTTGAACAGAGGAGATCATGCTTTGATAATATGGACCTTGGGTTGTGTTTGTTGGAATCATACGAAAGTTGAACCATTTTGCAATTGCCATCCCAGTATCCTACTTTTTATTTTTTTATATGCATCGTCAATCTGTGTTTGCTTCGTTGTTTGTAGAGGATAGGCTTGCGGATTAATATCAATAATATCTGGTGCTAACCTCCTACCAAGTCCTTTCATAAAACTACGGATGCCACCCTGTCTCATGCTACCAATCCGGCTTAACTGATAGGGGTAGTCGGCTACCTCATATTGGTCGACCTCTGGATTCCTTGTGGCGTCGACCCACTGCAATTGCCATACTCCCTTTGTGAGTCAGGTCATCAATGCCTCAATGCTTCCTTATACATGCACTAATGCTCCAGTGATGCATGAATTCCAGCTTTAAGATTTGGGTCGATATCATCGTTGCGACTCTCATATTCGTCATAAACCGGTTCCTGCGTAGCCCTGTAGTATTCTTTCTTAGCTCATCTTCTTGTTCATTGTATCTTCTCTTGCCTGTTGTAACTTGTCTTGAAATGATTTATGGACCTCTGTCGGAACCCTCTTGTATTTTACAATATCGGGATACCCATCGGCCAAATACATCTTCATTGAGGTGATTCCTTTACCCTTGTTGATATAGTTACAATAAATGTATTGCTAATGATGACGGTTCCTATCTATCTTTTGGGCATGATCCCAAGCGTCATCATGTGCATGTTCCTATCAAAATTGAATTAAATAAGAAAGTTATGATTAACCCTAATTTAAAATAACAAGATGTGATTATACGTAATGATCCCTACTTTGTCACTATAAATATGTCAATCAATATATTCGACATTAAATACGTAGAATTGACTCAATATCATTAAATTTATCATTAAATAAACTAATTACAATAATAAATTTTTTATTAAACTCTAATTATCTTTATTTTATCACTATAAATATGCCAAACACCCTAAGAAGTATTAAATACGTAAATTTGATCCAATATAGGTCAAATTACGATGAAATTATCATTAAATTCACTAATCATATCATTAACATAGTTAATTACCTTTAATTATTCCTCTTTCATCACTATAAATATGTTAAACACTTTAATAGACATTAAAGACATCTAATTGACCCAATATGGGTCAAAATTTCATATTATTGTAATTAAATATACTAATCACAACATTAACATAGTTAATTAATCTCTAATTAGACACATCTTTCATCGCTATAAACATGTTAAATATCCTAATAGGTATTAAAGACTTTGAATTGGCCCAATATTGGTCAAACTTTGATTAAATCAAGGTATGCAGTACCGAATGGTACCGGACGGTACGTACCAGTCCGACGGCATACCGGTACGCGGACCGCCCGGTACCGCTACAGTGCTACAGTATTACACTGTAGCATGCTATAGTATAAAAATTATAAAATAATTCGGTACATCAGGGTGTACCGCTCGGTACACCGGTACCGTACCGTACCGAGCCAACCTCGAAACACCGGTACGATACGGTATTTTCATACCTTGGATTAAATCATCATTAAAACCACTAATTATAGCATTAAAAAACTTAATTAAAACCTAATTAAACCTATTATATCATCACAAACATATAAATCACTTTAATATGCATGAAATATAAAGATTTGATCCATTAAGTGTCTAATTTCAAAAAATCAACATTAAACACACTAATAATAACATTAATGGCCTTAATTACTCCATAATTAATACTATTATACTATCAAAAACATATCAAACAACATATTAGATATTAAGTCATTAACCACATAGAATAGGCTTAATCATCTTATAAATCAATAAATATCCAGAAAGATAATACATATTGTATTATCTCTTGATTAGAGTGTTCTTCCTCTTAATCCTCCCAAAATAGTCTCCCAAATTTGATCCAATCTATAAATCGCAGCTTTGTTGAGTTTAGGAGAGTGAAAATGTGAGAATGTGAGAGAGATGCGAGTGAGAAAGAGTTTGAGAGTTGAAGAGATTGAGAGAGTGGAATGGGTTGAAAGAGGGGGGATGAAAGGGTTTAAACATTTTTTCCTATGGTTCAAACGATCAAATTAATCGTTTGAAATAGGACAATCTTAGCCTTTGGTCAGTAACGGTTGAAATCCGATCATTACTGACCTGTGCAAGCCTCGTATCATCTGATACGAGTTCATGTAACAGTAACACCTGGTATATGGTGGTCCACGCACCGGTCCCTTGTCAGCTCGGTACATACTGCCGATATCGGGTGGCATGTGTTGGTATAGAAAACCCTGATTATGAGGCCATATCTTCTCTCAAAGTTAGATGATAGATCATGCAATGCAATTGCATGATATATCATGCAAATGGAGCTCAAAGCAATTAGTGCGTGAATGCTTCATTTGTGACAATTATGAAGTGATAACTTCTCTCAAACTAGGAATTGAATGCCCGTACCCAACTTATGTGTGGTTACATGATAGATCATGCAAATAGGGCTAAAAATTCTAAAAAAGAACTTATAGATATGCACTGAACAAGATGCAGTTGTGGTCACTATCATATATATGCATATGATGCTTCTTGTGCAAGTAAGCTAATCTACAACTGAAAGCACCTGTGCTTTATACCGTACAACATCTCTTCCTGCATGTTTTTTGTTGAGATGTTTCAAGTTAGTTTGAGGTCCAAGATCAAAATTTTCTTCTAAAATGATTGAGTTGTAGTACCTTGTGCTCATTACTGCATTTTCACATTTTTCATCTAATTCAAGTTTTTTTTTATAGATTGGATCTACTGAATGGGTTGAGCAGAACCTTGGAAAATTGACATCGATGGCTGTGACATACTTGAATGTCGATTGTGCAGTTCAAGGTGATGGTTTTTTTGCTGGTGCAACTCCCCAGTTGGACAAGCTTCTAGTTCAAGTTACAAAACAGGTGAACATGCAATACTGTTGCAAGTTTGTTAATTCTTCTCTTGTATAATAATTGATGTGAAGTTTTCTATTAAGTGGGTGCTCTTTGCTCATTAATAGAAAAATAAAAAGAATCAATTTAGTTTTATATAAATGAGATGTGAAGTTTTCTCACCAAGTGAGTATAGGCATTTTTTCACATCTATATTTGTTATATGGTGGTCATCTTGATGTTTCAGATCCAGGATCCAGATTTGGAAGGCAGGACGGTTTATGATTCTTGGGCAGCAAATAATGAAGGTATCAGTGTAAGCTGTTAGTACCTATGTTATTCTTTCTTCTATCAGTGATACAGATTACAGAACTTGATTGAGCACTTGTATACTTAATACAATGGAAACTGAATGAAAAAAAAAATCTAATTTGGAGCCAGTTAGATTCTTTAAGAGTTGTTCTAGATTTTTTTTTAATAGAGTAAATTAGAGATTTTCAATGGAACTATCCTCTTAGCCTTCTTAGTTTATTTTTTTTCTTTATCTGTGAGGATGGAATCATTATCCTTTCACTGCCAAGACATTGAAATGCTTGAGTATTAATTTTATGTGTTTTTATGTCCAGCAGTATAGTTTTACTGGTTTACTTCATCGTACCTGGCTTTTTGTTGTGACAATAATACAATAGGCTTTTTGCTTGAATTCAGTAGTTTAATTTTCTTTTCCTGGTGTTACGCTAATCTTGTATGCTAGTTATGATTTTTCAATGCAGAAGATTGAAAGACTGGCTAGAGCTGATTCAGATTTTTCTGCATTTTTACACCATGCGGGGATTCCTTCTGTGGATTTGTACTATGGTGAAGGTATCTCTCTTAGTCCACTATGTTAGATTATAACTTTATCTAAAATGAGAAAATATGCTGCCTTAACTGGCACAATGTTGTGCTATGTTTCATGCACAATTTTGGGTGACAATTTGAAGTTAGAAAATCCGCCCTTAACTGTCACAAGTTGTTGGTAAGTATTGTATCTTGTGAATATATATTTTTACAGTTGCTTATTCATCATAAAAAGATGTTTTAGCTGGAATGTAACTGTTTAAGGCATGTAGTTAAATATATATTTGTTAAGTTTATGGTATATATGCATTTGCCTTCTCTATTATGATGATCAAGGAAATATAAAATGACATTAGATCTGAATTTATTTTAGTTTGAAGCATTTGCTGGATTACTGGGTTGCATGTGGAGGAACTTGTTTATGTGCAGTGAGCGATATGCTCCTTGTCCCAATCAAGCACTATCAGTGAATAGCAATAGATAGACATCTTGCTGGGTAAATACTGTTTGTTCATAGCTGAATTGTGCCAGCTTAACTTGTTCATGGTTGTATCTATAGAACGGTGGGCATGAGTTGACAAGTTTGAGGGATGGAGTAATGGATTTGCTACTCTGGGTGTCATCACTTATGCTAATTCTATCTCTATGGGAGATTAAAAGTAGAAGATGGACATTTAGTCAAGAAAAGGAATTCTAACACATTCTGTCATCACCTTGTTTGATTTGTAAGCCAGCTTAAATAGGCACGTGAATGACATAGATTCACTTCTGATGATGTAATTTTGCACTTTCATTTGCCTTTTTAAATGCTGTTTCCTTGTTTTCATGTACGCTAAACACTTTGCATTGCTACTAAGGTGACTGGAAGGTAATATATTTATTTTTGAATGACCGTAGAGTTTTCTGTCTCCTTGTATGAAAGGTTGACCAGAGTAAGCTTTTTATATGTGGGAAGCTGCATAAATTTGTATTGTTGTCTCTGAAGGTCAAGGTCATTGTCTTAGCTTTTGATCAACAAAGAAAGATTGATGTCTGAATAACGTAGAGGACTTGGTTATGTTTATTAACTCTGGTCTGCTTTGGTGAGAAGTTACACCATTGATCTGACAAATCAATTGTGTTTCTTATTGGAAGTGTTTCTTTGCATGCTATGTGGCTTTTGATTGATATCTTTCAAGGAATGTTCTTTTCACTTGATCATACCTGGAAGGAAATATAGAGAGTAGAGACTTTTTGTTACTAAGATCAGCCCTGTTTCTTGTTTTCTTCAATCGAGACAACTACGATTGTTTTTAGGTCTCTTCAATCAGTGGGTTGATGCTTTATTACTTGTAATTGGTTCTACAATGGTGCCTGATATGCTGTCTTTGATTATTATTGGTCCTATCTTAACACCCCAGTTTAGTCCCAACAGGTTAATGAGTTAGCTTGGGTTTAAGAATTTTATGTAGTGGTTTAGACTCAACAGGTTAATGAGTCAGTTATCCCATCAAATTGAGATGTGACAAATATTATCAAGGTTACCTATTGGAGATGATGAGAGACTCGAGTAAAAAAGATTACCCGTGGATTGGATTAGAGAGTACATTAAAGCATGGTGCCACCATTAGCTTAGGTATCATATGCACCATGTTTGAGTTTGTTCTGGGTGATGTTGATGCTTAACGATAGCGTCAAATCATTGAGGGAGATTATATAACCCTTGTTTAGTTCCATATTGGTGGTGGGCAAAGATTTAGATTGACTTATAAGGGTTTGATGGATGCACTATCACTAACTGGGGCTTAAACATATTAAGCTACTTTGGCGCTAGGAGGGCCCAATGTTGCAAGAACGCCCACAATCGAGCAACCCTGGGCGAGGTCCTAGAGAGGAGCCGCCCGCTGCTCACCTGACCTTCGGGATCGGAGGGCAGCTCCCTCTTCCTTCGAACCTGGACGGGAACACCTCAACCCCAACCCCAAACCGCTACTGACGGTTATTCAACGATCCTGGGTTTCGCCTCCTGGGACCACAATGGGACGACCTGCTGTCTTAGCCGAGGCATTCCTCAGCCTCACCCACTAAGTCCAAGCGCTGGCGGGGATGATGCAGACTATCATCCCCCTAGTTCCCCAACTCGGCCAGCAGGCGGCATTGCCCCAACCACCGCTGCCATGGGACTTGACAACCCCTGTCATCACGCCACAGGAGCCTATCTCGATTGGCCAGCAACCCAGAGCTGTGGATGCTAATCCGTTGGCCGAAGAGCAGTCAGGAGACTTGAGGCCGACGCCCGAGCATAGCGCCCCGGTCCCCGACGCACCACCCCAAGCTGCCTCGAGCTCGATACCTTATCATCCAACTTGGCGGACTCTCTCCGGGCTCAGCTACACCTGGTTTCAGTCATGTGCTCGAGTAGTGTTGCTAGGCCAAACTAGTGCCCGAGTAGTGTCGCTCAGCCAGTCATATGCCTGAGTAGTGTTGCTTGGCCAAACTAGTGCCCGAGCAGTGTGGCTCGGCCAGTCATGTGCCCGAGTCCCGTTGCTTGGCCAAACCAATACCCGAGCAGTTCGACTCGGCCAGTCATGTGCCCAAGTAGCGTTGCTCGACCAAACCAGTGCCCGAGTAGTATGGCTTGGCCAGTCTAGTGCCCGAGTCATGATACTCACCTTGTCCAACGTTCGAGCCACACCTCGGCCTATCGGGGCCCCGGTTACATCTCAGTCGATCCGATGCCCGAGCAGGGACAACAACGTTATAATCCACCCACCTAAAGGGACTGCAGATCCAACCAACAACAACCCCAAGCTGTGCCTCACGCCCTTCCACAGTAGCTGTTTGTGGACTTGCAGCTGTTCGTTCAACCCTCTAAAGTCCTTGTTTTCCTCCTCTCCCTCTTTTCTCTTGTGCACGCAAGGTGCTCGCTGAATTGCTTGTAAAGCTTCCCCTTTTCGTGAGACGTCGGGACTTGTCCGTCGCTCGTTCTTCGAACTAATCAACTTTCTCTTTTACAAGTCCTTTGGGACCTGCGAGAGGTTGTAAGTTGGTTGATCTTTGCGGACGCAAATCGCAAGGGCGAAGTGCGACTTAGGCAACACAAGCTAAGTTCGCGTATTTGCCGCAAGGGTGCCTCGCGACTTAGGCAACACAAGCTAAGTTCACGTCTTTGCCGCAAGGGTGCCTCACGACTTAGGCAATTCCAGCTAAGTCCATGACACATCGGCTACGGCATAAGGTTGCTCAACAACTAGGTAATAAAGTTCCTTGGTACCAGTGGACCAAAGATAGGTTCTAACTCTTCCTATTCATATTGGGTGAAATACTAGCATCATCAAAACTTGTACAAATTGCTGTATATTATTGTTTATAGCAAGATTTGATGCAGTGTCAGTTGTTTCAAAGTTTTGCCTTATGAGGGGGGTGACAACATTTCTCCATCACTTGTTGACTCTCAGTGCATTTCACTAATTCCATGTGGCCTACTGATCAAAATGATTAAGCTTTTGCATGATTGTTTTGATTCTCTGCTCTACATTTTCACTTCAATCATATTATCTGAAAAGGTAACAGCATTCCTAGTTTTTGTTATTATGATCAGATGGGGATAATTCTATATTGTGCTTTCAGCATTCGGCGGCTACCATACTGCTTTTGACTCCTATAAATGGATGATAGAACATGGAGATCCATCATTTCATCGCCATGTAGCCAGTAAGTGTTTCATTTTCTTACTTGTTCGATATAAAATACTCATCATATCTTCATGTCATTATGTTGAGTTTATTGTAGAGTTAGGACCTTAACTTCAAGACATAAATTACATCAGATGGGAGAGAACAGGGTTTTCTGATGGATGAACAGCAAGGAATTTCTCTTCCTTTAGTAGTCCAGTCATTTGGAAATGATTGACATATCCTCTGAATATGAGATTGGAGTATTAACATATCACAAGAACTTCTATGATTAGTTCTAGTTAGTTTACAATGTGCAATTTGGATTTCACTATCGATTCAAAGCATAAACAGTATCTGGTTTCAGTTCTTTTGTGCTGATGGGAATAGGCTGATACATCGTGGGGTTTGATGAAAAATACATATAACACTTATTTATTACAGGGTTTTCTGAGACTGCTACATTTTTCTGAGCAGTCAACTTAGAAATGTTGCTTTCAGTTGATTCTTTATCCATAATTATTTCAGTTATTGAGTTTGTTGCATGTTTCTCAGTTGCTGAACTTTGGGGCCTCTTAGGTCTTCGGCTAGCAGATGATCCAGTCCTACCTTTTGATTACCTTTCTTACTCTACCCAGTTACATGTAAGTATTTGTCATATAAAGTTTATATATAAATTGTGCTCAGAGTATGACAAAATGACTTAGTTAATGCTTTGTCTTCTGTGTTGTCAAAGGTGCAAAATTCCAAAAAGCTGAGGTGTTAGACATTCGATTAAGCTATCCCGTCAACGAAAGTGAGACACTCACCATTATAATTTAAAAAATTACTAATCAGGTTAAAAATAATATAATTGAAAAAAACGGTGATCACCACAAACAAGTAGGCTGTAGGAGAACACAAGGAGAAGCCATTGGAGACGAAGATGGAGGCGAAGTGATCATCGGCATGAATCACAATGACAATAGTAGGTAAGTAGGCAGTTATAAAAGCACTGAGAGAAGTGGAGGTGGTTGTTGGCAAAGGTCATAGCGCAACAACAATCAATTGGAGAAGACTTGTCGCAAGCGAAAGTGATCAGAGAATAGCTCTTGAAGGCGATTGTAAGTGAAAATCATGGTGGTGGTTGCTGGTGGTTGAAGAATAGTTGTCAGAGGCTATTGTAAGAAAATTCACAGCGGGCAACATAGTGATAGTCGATTGGAGAATAGTTGTTGGACGCGGAGATGGAGATGAAAATCATTGCATAAGCAATAGCGAGTATAACAACAATTAGAGAAGAGCTATAAGAGAAAAAGGTGAAGACACTTATCCGCAAAAATCACAACGGCAATGATAGGCCTTCGAAGGTCGCAATGATGAATACCAAGTGGTCATGGTGGTAATGAAGAAGCTATGGTGTCACCAGCATGAAAGGAGTTCGAGGGATTGAAGAACCATTAGTGAATTGGTTTAGTCAATCAATTCATCAACTTTGATTAGGCTTAGGCTTTGATTTAAGCTCTATTGGAGTGGACTAGGCTAGTGAGGCATCTAGGTTGGGCCAGGCGAGCACCTAAGCCATCCAACACCTCGCCTCGGGCACTTGCCTAGGCACCATTTGATTTAATCGTCTTGCCTTAGTTTTTTGCAAGGCTCTTGGTGCTCATGGCTCGCCTTGCTCGAGTGCCTGTGGCATCATTGATATATATAGCTCTCCTTGCTTGAGTGCTTGTGACATCATTGATATATATATGTATGTATATATATGCATGTATGTATATGTATATGTATATATGTATATATGCATGTATGTATATGTATATATATATATGCATGTATATATATATATATATATATATATATATATATATATATATATATATGAATGTATGTATATGATACATATAGATATACATATCAGGGGAGGGTTTTCTTAAACAACAAGGAACTGAAGCAACTATTCAATCAAATGATATTGAGCATGTTTCCCATCTCTTCTCGAGAAACAAGTGGGGAATTTCTTTGCAAAATTGTGCTCAATTTCATATGTGGCAATTCTGCCAAGATCTCTTCGTTAGTTGGGATAAGAATCAGTACGAATCAGATTTTTTGAGGAACACATCGAGAGAGAATTTGATTTGGTTAGACAATGTGTGGTTGTTAAAAAATGTATATATACAAATATACATATGTTTATGTTTATGTACATATACATATTATATATACATATGCATATGAGCCATAGTGATATTTTTTTAACCACTAAAGACAAGTAGATAGCTTTCATCTTTGTTTTTTTTTTTTGTTTCCATGGGCTCTACTATGATTCAGCTCTAGATAACTCACTATCTTTTCTTTTTCACACCCAAGTTGTTTCACTGGCACCAAATTGTAGTCGTCCCATTGCAACAACCAACTTGCTCTTGGGATAAAGTGGTTAGGTAGCCGCCCATTCGGTCAAGTTAGGCTTTGGTCGACTTGAATACGGTAGTGGTCTACTAGAGGATGGTTTGAAGACCGGATCGTCTTGAAGATGTCTTGAAGGGGTGACCTACTTGGGAATGTGAGTGACTTTGGGATGCGACCTTCTTGAAGATATGGGTGACTTTGGTTGACTTTTAAACCGGGTGGGGTTGATTTGCTCAGGTTCTACAATGACAATACAAACCTTTCCAGCTCTAGATAGCACACTAGAAATATCAACAACAAAGCCGGAAAATCCCAATTATGTGGGTCAACTACGTGGACCAGTATTTAAATTTTATTAGAAGTTTCTATTAAAATCTTCCTTTACCTCTCCTCATGCCACTAACAGTAATTATTTCACTATCATTTAATAATCCAGGACCTTCATGTCTTCTTCAATCTTCATCTACCTTAAAAGATGTATACATTTATGTTAATTGATGTGTATACTGTTCATGGACATTCATATTGTCAATTTTGATCATCAAACGGATGTGGTGAAATTGCTTCCAATTTTTGAGTGTTGTTTTGTCTTGAAAAGAGAAAGAAAGTCTTTCAGGATGGAATGCGGGAGTCACAACTGATCGACGGAGAATTTCTGTCGAGGACCAAAAATGTCTGTGTCCCATATTCTATGCAAAAGATGTGCCGAGGGGTACAAAAGATGTGCCAAGTTAGTTTCAGGTTGTTGTGGGCAAAAGAAGTTGGTAAGATGTTTAAATATTCGAATTCAATCTAGCTAGTCTAGAATAAAAACATACATGGAGACAAGGTTTGCAATACCATCTGATATGGTTTGGTATGGATGGTATTTACTGGTACTTTTAAACGTTCTAGCCCCTCGAAGTTTTGCAAGTTGCTGGTATCCAGCAGAAAAACATTACCGGACAAAAAACATATATTCAGTTTGTTGCTGTCAGGTGCAAAACGTACTGGCCCATCGCATGTTTTTGAAAATCGTTATGTAAGGAAGTTCAAATATGTCATATCAAGCATATGGTTTTTCTAGGACAATGAAGATCATATGTATGCCTGTTTTTCATGTCTGAGCTTTTTCATTACTTTTCTTAGTCATTTTTTTATACCAACATAATTAGTTTATAGAAAGATTTTTCTTTGTTTTGTTCTAATCCCAATAAAATTTTTCTGTAGTTGTGTTTTCTGACATTAATTTAATTACAATGATTGAAAGTTGAACAACTTCAAGCAGTTATCATAGTGCTTTATGTTTAGTATTATCTAGTTTCTAATATTCTTGCTAGATTAGGTAATTCACAAATTAATCCTTTATTAACCAAGCATTCCCATCCCTCCATAATGTATCATTTAGCTCTCTGGTCCTACCTGCTTTATATATCGATACCCTATGTGGCTTAGTTTCTCACAAACCGACAATTTGTTTGTCTTTCTCTACATCCAATACTAGATAAAATGAACTTCCGTTGAGTAATTTATGAATTAATGAAAGGTTTGTCTCAACCTGTATTTTCTTTTCACTTTATCTATTATCAAACTCCTTCCCTCACTTTAACTAATTTTCCTCTAGGACCAAACTTATATTAGTTGTTATCATAAGCATTAAATGAACATAAACTGTAACATCCTCAGATTATGATGTTAAGGTGCTTCAAACAGTTAGGCATACATTTTTTACAAAAAGTTTCTTCATGATAAGGAAGCTTTCTTCTGCTTTTATGGAGCTGATTTATAGATTTGACTTGCCTCTTATACTTGTAGGAGTATGCAACTACATTGATTACCTTTCTGGATGGTGGGATATCTGTGCATCCTTTAAATGCCTCTGTTGACGAGCTCTCTGCTGCAATCAGAGAAGCTCTGGAAGAAGGAAAGGTCAGACTTGAAACTTGCCATAAAGTTCATTATTGTTATTTTTGGTTGGGTTTGCTAAATCATGTGATATTTGTTGGTAATAGAAAACATTTTTTTGTGATGTATGAGTTAAACAACAGAATGATTATCTGTGATATGTGATTTCTTTTCTCCATCAAAATCTTCGGGAGGAAGGATTTGGGCATTAATCTGTATAAAAATTCATTTATTGTTTTTTTATCTTAACAGTTGTGGGGTGTTTGTGGCAGGGTTTTGTATTCTGATCAGACTTGTCACTGCAAAACCAGTATTTATTGGTCCACCCAAAGACTAGGACTAGACCAGACAGCTTGATACTTGTCAATATTTTATTTTTAATTATATTTTTCTGTGATACTGTGTAGGTAGTACAGGTTGGCGTATTCAATATGCTAGTACCATACTAATTTGAGGTGTGGGGACTGGTATTGAATCAATTTTAAACCTTTCTTTAAGTACGAAATAAGTAAGAAAATGAATAAGCACTATTTGTTCATTTCAACTCCTGAAGAAGCGTCCCAAGAATAAGTCACTTGTGTTATGTAGAAAAAATCCCTCTATCTGCAACAAGAAGTCATCCAATGACAAAATCCATCCATATAGAGAACCATTTAGATGGTGACACATTTTAGCAAAACCATGCACTGGTGTCATCCATGATCATATTGCCTCACTGGTGTCACAACTTATATATTGTAGTTATTGGTGTCAGCCATGCAATTTCTTTTTATCCCTTGTGATTTGTCATCCAATCCCTTTGTCTGAAGAAAAGAAACTTATTGGTTTGTCTTTTTGTTGCAGCTATGTTAGCATTTCTGTTGCTATTTGCCTATGATATGTTTGTGCTCTATTCTTGCTAAAACTCAGAAGCAACCTCTGTATGAATGAAGGCTGGTTCATGGTATACAACTATAATTCCTGTAGAAGCTATCCAATTGTTGTTTACACTTTATAATGAAAACAAATGACAGAAACTGCAAGAGGTAGAAACCTCAGAGGAGTTTGCTGCCTTGAGGATACGTGCTTTCAATGATCGCCTAATGCTGGCTGAAAGAGGCTTCCTGGAAGCAGAGGGGCTTAGAAGAAAACAGTGGTTTAAGCATATGGTATGCATAAAACGAGCCATATAAGGGCTAGAATGTTGATAGACTCTTTTTTTATAGTTCTGCAACTAATTGTCCAATTCTTGGAAACAGGAATTGCTCAGATTCTAATGTTCCTATTGAATTGATTTCTTCAGTGTGCTATTACGTATGTTAATTTTGATTAACAATCAATAATAATTAGCTGGTTAAAAGAAACCATGAATTATGAATATAGTTCTGGAAACATAAGAAATAACTGAGGCACCTCGTAGATTTGCAAAAACAAAAATTGACTGCAGTTGTAGTTAAAATTTCTAAATCATATTTATTTGTGTTTTCCTTGATCTTTCAATTGTCATTTAAAAGAAAGCAAAACAGTAAGGGATAAATCTATTAATATTCTTGTTTAAATGTATACTCTCCTAGTTACTTGCTAACTTTACAGTAAGAATAAGAAGGGAGACATTTGATCATACCAGAAGTGTAAAATCTTTTATAAGATAGGATGCAGGCAATTGCAGGATATTTATAAGAAGTGCTAATGTAGACCAGCGATCCATGTGGAATATGTGCGCAAAATTAGGTGTAAGGATCCATGTGAAAAATTAGCCGGTTCTCCTTTTAACCTAATGTTTAACCTCACAACATGGTTTGCGGAGTAGGCATTGAACAACTAAAAGAATTCCAGCCAGAAACCTCTTTGTCAGTGAGTCTCCATGTGTACGATGACAACAAATTATTTTCATTTGTAATGCTAGTCAAATCTTTTAGTCAGCGATGATATTGGTATTTGTTTTGTTATCTGATCAATCAATATAATTTATGTTTTCTAGTTGCTTGAATTGTCTTTGTTTGTTTTGTTACCCTTGCTGAACCAGTAACATACCACACTAGTCGTGTCCTCAGATTTAGGGACATCTCTGATGGGGATGCACCAATGAACTCATTCATTATGGCTGGCAGGTATACTCTCCACCCGAGGATTCTGAGAGCAAGATGCCGTTCTTTCCTGGTATAGCCGATGCCATATCTCCAGCAAGGAAACATGCAGGAAAAGGAACACAACTGGGTGTTCAACATGAAATTTGGAGAGTTGCTAGAGCTATTCGGAGGGTTGCTGCTACTCTTAGGGGAGAGCTAATCTGAGGGCACAGAAGAATACCAAACTGCTGTACAGTGATAATGTATATGCTACAAGTTTCATTCTTCTGCAGTTAGAAATAAACCTATATATATCAGATGAAAATATCTGTGTGCAAGTTGCATTCTTGATGAATTTTTCTGCTACTTTCTTCCCAGTTTTGTACAAAATATTACTTCCTATGTTATAAGTCTTGATGATTGATAGGTTATAGCAAATGTTGAGGGAAGCAATCTCACCTGCTGAGGACTATGCTATGGAGTTGAATGCAACATCTGGTGTTAATTGGATTGGGCCGGGTAGCCCACTTGGATCGGCCTGGTAACGCAATGGACTGGGTGGACCAAATCAATTTGGAGTTCGTTCTCGATCCAGTCCACTGAGAACGCGGACCGGAATCGGGCCATCCCCTAATTAGACCCGATTCGTTAACTCACCCGGTCTGGCCCAGGCCTGTTGTCAACCCTACCCGGTCAAGGATATCGTTGGTGCGAGGGAACTGATGAGGTCCGTCCGCGAAGGAATCACGAGATGTCGGTCACCTCGGCTTTCGGCTGCGGCGCCGCCTTCCTCCGCCACCTCTCCGCCGGGTCCCGGTCCGGTTCGACGCTAATTCTGCTTCGTGCGGGAGGGGCCAAGCCGCGGCCGTACTCCTCGTCCCTCGCGCGTTGCGCCGCCCCCGAACCCCCTGACGTCTCCCGCCTCGCCGACACCGCTCGCATCTCCCTCACCCCGGAAGAGGTTTGAGCCTCTCCCTTTCCCGCTCCCGTGGTTCGGTATCGGCTTGGTTTTCATCTAAAGCTCGCCTCTTTTTGGTTTCTGCTCTTCGTGGCAGGTGGAACAATTTGCCCCCAAGATCAGACAAGTCATCGACTGGTACGCCCGATCTCCCTCGGACTGTATAACTTTTGGATTTCATGTTATTCTCGAGATGTGTGATATCAGTTTTATGGTTCAATTTGTTATCCTAATGACGGGTGATTCATTTACTCATTTCCTATCTGCTTATTACGATTTCAAGATATTGGAATTGCCTTCACAGTTCTACCTAGCTGTACTGTGATCCTTTTCAAATAGATATGTAGCTTTGATTTGTATCTCTTCTTTTCCAAAAGAAAATGATGCTGAGAGTTAGAACTACAATTCTTTCTATTTTAGTGAGGATGTTTTGTTCACAAGATTATTGGTAGTTTCTTGATAGCCAGTCAAGCTATATAGAAGGGCAGCTACTGGAGATGGCTGAACATTTTGCTGTTGTTGTGTGATTTTCTGTGTTGAGCATATCTTGGCATGGTCTTTGATCATTTCTTTTCAATAGGTTTGGACAACTTCAGGCTGTTGATCTGGAAACCATTGAACCGTCACTTCGAGCTGGTACACAACCTTTAATCTTGCGCAATTGCACTTTAAGCTTGGCAATCATAAAACTGTTTCTTAAGGTTTTCTGGTGATTAAAGCATATATTGATAGTTGGATTTATATGCTAATTGTAAAGTTGGATAGTTCTATTGCTGATGTGATTCTGCACCTCTATAAGTACCCTCATGTAAAAAAATAATGAAACCACAAGATCATTTGCCCATGCATCAGGTAAAAATGAATGATATTATCAATTGCCATAGGCAACCCCTTACATCATACCGCCACCTTAAAAATAATAAAATATAATTTTTATATGCAAACCCCTCAATTTTTAATCATACTCTTATTTCCCACAACCAGTTAATTACCATTACTTCATATAACCGGTAAATCCTATTTCTCGCCTCCTCTTTGATCTTTAGATCGTTCCACTTGATTATCAAATGTCTTTTTTTCATCATTTTGCTTCATCGACAATGAAAGATGCTCCGACGGTTAGGAAGAGAAGAAGAAGAAAAAGAAGGGGAAGAAAGGGGTTGGAAGAGCTTGTTGGAATTAAGTGATAAGTTGAGAGCATTTACGTCCATTTGCATTGGGGTAACTTATAAAATATTAAGAGTTCTTAAACAGGGTTTTAAATAGCAAAAAGAGGTTGTCAATATAAATCTTGATGATATATCATAATTTACATTGTTTTTGAACAAGTTAATGAATTATCAAAATCACACTTTCCTCATGATTTTGATATGGAGATGCTTGAGAGGATGTAGATCAATACCAGATTTAGACCATTAATATGAATCTTGTTGTTGGTTTGAGGATTTCATAGATATACATCAGAAGCCAATTCTCATGATCGTATACATGCATTTTTAAGCACAACTGAAAATACTGAATGCTTCATTGAAGGTTTGGTGTTCGATTGTCAACTCGAGGTTCAGTTTCATGCTCAACATCGTACAAGGCTGTTTAGCATCTGAATTCCTGCATCTTATTGGTTGCAATTGAAGCTCATGCAAACAGGGATAAATCTCATAATATTTCAGAAGGGGAAACGACAATCATGTTTTACCTAAACCACAAGTGATATTCTATATGGTGACTTGCAGTTGGTTTCCAAATATACAATCTTGTGATTAAAATTTTCAAGTCTCCCGACTCAATGGTACAACCAAGCATGATCTGCGAACAAATGCTGTGATTTTTGTACCTTCAGGTAGGCAGAATTTGGTTTACAACTATTCCATGAATTCAAAATTTTCGGAAGAAAGCTGTTGAGTAGAAAGTTATACTTAAAAGTGGGGCTACTGAAATGATTGGTTCATGCCCCGATCAGTATTAGAACTGCAATATGCAAAAAAAAAAGAAGAAGGAATTATCAGTTTCTTATTATTTTGTTTTTACATTATAAGAATGAATATTAAATGCTATAAACGTTTTCTATATCATCTGTGACATGCAGTGGTGATTAATCTATCCACTTTTCTGTTTATTTCTTATTTTTCTTACTTAGATACTGATGCTAACACAAGCCAAAGAGAAGATGCTCCAGAAACATTTGGGAACAGGTGAGCAAATTTATGACTTGCCAAGATGTAGATACAATTCTTTGGACTGAGTCACAATTTTAATGTTATGAAACGAATATAGGGAGGCAATTATAGCAGCAGTTCCAAGCTACGACAACCCATATATAAAAGTTCCAAAGGTCTTGAATAAGGAGTAAAGTTTCATTTCCTTGCCTGCTGTTTCAAACAGTAAACAGGTTGGATCTTCAAGGTGCTTATACCTCCACTTGACTGTTAATGGAGCCTTTGGCTGTTTTGTTTATTTAGTTCATCTACCTTGAGAAATTATGCATATTCCTATTGGATCTGGAAAAGATCAATTACAATTACATCAATCTAAGAGAACATATTAAACAAAGTTGCAGCAGTCTTGGATGCAGTCTCACCAGTTAAGCGTGCCAATTTCTCATGGCCCTCGGATTTGTTATCATATCTCGGATTTGTCATCTGGATTGAATGTTATCATATCTCGGATTTGTTACACCATGATTATAGTTAAGTTTAGAAGAGATATCATCTTTCCCATAACCGACATTTATTATGAGAATAATAATATTCGAGACTCATTAAAAGAAAGTTTCTTAGGTGCATTGTGAGAGGTGATATCTGTTATGAGAATAATAATATTCGAGACTCAAAGTTTCTTATGTGCATTGTGAGAGGTTGATCTCACTCTTTCGAAAATATAAGTTGAATCATTCAATATTGAGAGTGTTTTTAATGTAGTTTTGTACCATTGGAATTAGGTAAATAAAGTGTCAAATCAACTTTGAGACGTATGAAAGGACCTTAATTAACTTCCAATCAACATAAACATAACAATTTTAAATTTATCTCTAATCTTAATCTTAATACTTAACTTATTCTTAAATTAAATTTAATCTTAATCTTAACCCTAATATGAGACTCGCCTCCCGTTTCTATACAGGAAAGAATTGATTTGACTTCAATCAAATTTGGATTACAAAATGACTTGATTTCTGATTTATGTTTGGTACCCTTAATCTTTAGGGTGTACATGAAAAGACTGTGCAGGAGGGATAAGCTAATTATATATTATCTCTTATAATTAATTATTTTTTAATATTTCGATTTTTATATTTTTATAAAAAAAAAATATTACGATACTTATATTTATAATAAAATAAAATATTTAACTTCGTTTCTAAAGTTGTTGACGAAAACATTACAGGATTTATCGTTAGCACCGTTTCCTGTTTCATGTGTGTTGGACCCATGGAGGCGGCATCTTAACCCTCCCCGCATTAGCACAGATCTTGAGGCATGTCCCCCCCTATCGTCATTCGGAATCGCTCGCCACCGCGAAACCCTCGCCATGGCTCTCCTCTCTGCCCTTTCCTCCGCGCTTCCCTTCCTCCACCCCACCCGAACCCCAGCCTCAAACCTTCCTCCTTGCCGCTTCCACCTTCGACCCCGGCGCTCTCTCCACCGCCCCTCCTCCTCGCCAGTCCCGCCGCTCCTTCCCTCCCCCGTTGCCTTCTCCGCCTCTGCGCTCCCACTGGGGGAGCTCGTCGAGAGGGACTGGTCCTTCCTCGACGCCAATGCTACCAATAACGAGGAGCAGCGGGCCGATAAGGCCCGCCGGATCATCTCGACCGCTGACATCAGGGGGACCGGCTCCAGGGTTCTCGCCGCACTTCCGACCCTAAGTTTCGTCGACCGGGTGGTGGAGTCGGCCCCCTGCGAGCTCCTGGTGGCGATCCATGAGTCGCTTTTCGTGCTCGCCATGATCAAGGAGAGCCACGACCTGGTGCGGTGCTGGCAGGGCGGAGTCGACGCCGTGCCCGAGAGGTTCTCGCCCTTCGATGCCGTGTTCATCTGCTATTTCCCTGGGATGGGCGTTTCGATTGATCAGCTGTTGATCTCGCTTGCTGGGAAGTCCTCTCCAGGTTCGTTTCTTCCTCATATCCTAAAACACCATCATGAATGAACTAAAATTGGCGTCATTTAGGTAACCATGCAGGTCTTATCAGTTCGTTGTCATTAAAGGTGCCACCTTTGGCTCATATATTTATTGTTTGTTTTTGCTGGAGATTATGAATCTTGAATGATATCTCCTGATTGACTGACATGACAAAATTGTTTCGATTTCAAAGAACCTCATCCTTTTAACTAGTTTGAAGTCTTTCTTTTTCTTTTCCATGTAATCTTGTTGCGGTGGATGAATTATAGAATTGTCACCAGTGCGGCTGCTATTTCACAAAACTATTTTTGACAATTAGATCACAGACCTGAATGCTCAAAAGGTGGCAACTTCTCTGTTGGTATCAAAGAAATTTCAAAACTTTGCATGGTATATTATGCAATTGCCATAGTAGAGTCCTTTTTAGTTTAGGGGTCCAATGTCTATTACTAGGAGAGTTACCGGGAGTCATTGTGGTCTTTTGGTACCTTTGAGCCTTTGTAAATATGAGTCAGTTCGACACCCATCACTTTCTTCTCTCGCTTGAATGCTATTACTTGAAAGAAGAGGTCTGTTAAAGTGCTGATCGAAAGTATCAAAGAAGAGAAATTTGTAAATTTATTTGTTTAACTAATGTTAGCAACATCCACTGGGGATAGCACATTAACGAGGCCTTCTTACGAGATTTACGACTAGATAAACAGATATAGGAAACCCAGTGATTTTGCAAGATTTAAGTTTCTCCCTTTGATCTTGGAAAGAATGTTAGCTTGTAGGAAGGCTTGGATAAGAGATTGAGCTGGTTGGTATTTCTACATGAATGAGGGAACTAGCAAAGTACTGTTCTATACAAAATCCAACATTTGGTCTGCCAGCATGATTTTCAAGTAGTGGAAGAGGCTTGTCTAATAAAGCCAAGGCTAATCAAATGCTAATAAGGTCAACGTATTGGTTTCTGTTTCGGAGACTGGGAACTTTAGAAATCAGCATTGGTGTGGATTCACCTGATGGCTGATAAGTCGAAACATTGTTTCGGAAAACATAGTCCAATTTGTGTTGGCAACAAGATGCATTTATTGCTCATGTTCTTTTTTTTTTATTGCTGTGTCAACTTCATAGCTAACCCATGTTGTCACTGATCAAAATCGATCCCACTTACGAGCACCTAGAATTCTATAACTACTGCAGTTTAATCAACCATTCTACAAACTTCTACCTCTGGACATCCAAATATTTCTTCTGTAATATTTTTGCTGCTACATTTGACAACAATCCCTTCATGTCGACTCAATTTGTATTTTACAGGTGCAAGGGTGGTTCTCAGCTTTGATCAAGGGAGGGAGGTCATAGAGCAAAACCATAGGCAGCAATATCCTGATATGGTGACTAATAACTTGCCTGATAGAACAGAGCTAGAAAGGGCGGCGATGGAACATTCGTTTCATATAACAGAATTTGTTGATGAGCCCACCTTTTACCTTGCTGTCTTGAGATTCCATGACTAAGAAAACTCAGGTCATTCTTTTTGATGCCTTGGCATGTCTCCCATACTTTTAAGAAATGGTCATTGTTTTGTTCATTAGTGGAATCTGTCGTCTGGTTTTGAGTACAGCTTTATTTGTAAAATGCATTGTGTACTTTTTTTTTTTTCATTGTTTTCATTGTTCATCCATCAAAGATTGTGCCTCTAATCTGATGCGTGGAGTTTTCATGCTTTTTCT